TAAAATTAGATCTGGACACAAATTAATAATTCTGTGAAAGGGTTGCTGACGCCCAATCTATCCCTATCGGACTCAGCTAATAAGATATGCGCTATTTATATTATTGGCTAAATTATACTATGGTCAAGATTTTGGTAATCATGATAACATTGAACTATACTATTCTTCTACTCTACTGACTGCAATTCACCAGTCAGAATAACTTGTGCCTCGGGCATCGAAATTATCGCTAAGGAAATTAAAACTCTTAGACTAGAGGATGGCTCGATTCTCCCACTATAACTCGAGCCTGATTTCGATCTTTGTATGGAACTAATCTTCTACCTGATACTTTCATGTACTCTACACCTCCCATAGTTTCTAAAACGTACGTTCTCCTTTGTCCTACTTCCTTAATCCTAAATGGTCCTTCGTTTGCTTGCTCTAATTTGCGCTTGTGTGCTGGGGCATGTAATAGTACTAGGTCACCGACTTGGTAAGGATTGGCTAGATCCCTGCCGGCTTCCATCTTTTCTTTGACTCGCTTTTGTTTCTCTTCAATTAGTGCTGCTGCTTTGATTCGTTCTGGTTGAAGTTCCTTCAGTTGGTCCATTCTACTTTCAATTTCACCTTCAATTTCTTCTATAGGTATGGGGTATCTTCCTTCAATGGGGAGTCTCATTCGATACCCAAATAGTAGATCTGACGGGGTATGCTGAGTTGTCGCTTGTACTGATGATCGATAGGCCATTAATACGTCTTGGAGAAGTGTCCCATCCCATTTGCTTTTGTCTGTTCCTAGTTTCTTCTTGATCATTCGTATCAGAGTTTGATTAAACCTCTCTACTTGACCATTTGCTTGAGGATTTGCTGCCGTTGTTGGAGTATGCTTAATTCCCCATTTCTTCATTGCTCTTTTCCACTGAGCACTCGTAAAGGCTGTGCCCTTGTCTGAGATGATCTGCTCTGGAGCACCATAGACTGTCATTATATGGTTGTGTACGAATTCCAAAGCTTCATCCGTATTAGTTGTCTGTGTGGGTTGAGCAATTGGCCACTTGGTAAAATAATCCTGAGCTACAATGAGGTATAAGTTCCCTTTCTTCGTCAGATGTAGCGGCCCTACATGGTCTATTCCTACAATCTGGAATGGTCTTGTTGCTACGATGGGGTAAATGTCCTTGGCCTTCTCTGGCTTCTTTTCTCTTTGGCATTGGTCACAGGTTGAGACGAATTTCTGAACTTCTCCTACTAATCCTGGCCACCAATATCTTTCTTGGATCTTCTTGATGGTTGCTTGCATCCCCAAATGTCCAGCTTCATGGATTTCTCGAATAATCTCTTCCGTTTCTCCTTGCAATATTACTCTTTTCCATTTGTCGTTTAGTCGCTTCAATACGGTACCGTCTCGGAGGAATCTATATTCACT